CAGGGTCTCACTAAGTTACTTAGGGTCTTGCTAAGTTGCTGATACTGACTTTGCACTTTGCTGATGCTGAGCCACTGGGATTACAGGTGTGCACCACCACACCTGGCCAGAGTAAGAATATTATAAAAGGCCAAATAAAAGCTGTGGATCTGCCTTACCATCACCACCATCCCTTAAGAAATCTAGAAACCAAAAATCAGAAATTAGTGCTATCTTGAAAGACTTCATAAATGAAGCAGAATTGAATCCCATATTGTTTCCAGAAAATTTACTAGGATAGCCTCCACAAAACCAGGTGGATCATAACTGCCCCCAGTGGATGACCACCAGACCTATCAAATTAATAAAAGATACAAGTAAAGCTAATGTGATAGATATAGAATCCTGCCTACAATAGATTAACATAGTCTATGATGTCTGGGGTGCGTGGATATTTAACTGGGAAATAAAACCTTCAGAATCTTCAAGGAAGGAGAGGCAGAAGTGGATTCAGTTGACACGGAACCAAAAGCAGTATCAACTTGCTGTCTTGACCCAGCGCTAGGCAAATTCTCTTCCTCTTTGTCACAATGAAGTCCAATATGAAGTGGACATTCTGGACACCCCAATGAGGCTAGCAATGATCATGATATCAATGATATCAGGCCAGTGAGATCTGATGAATTGAATAATAAACATACCTAATATAGAAATGTCGTTAAAACACACATGCCCCTCCCTAACGATGGGATATAAATCTCTCAAAGCTTCCAGGCATCTCCACATTAATGCCATGTTCAAAAGTTGTAACTGGAGAATTCCAGGACATCTTCATCTGAATGCATGATGGTCTGTTGTTGTTTAGATATGACATATCCCCCAAAAGCTCATGTGTGAGACAATACATGGAAGTTCAGAGGCAAAATGATAGGATTATAAAACAGCCTAAACCCAGTAAGTGCCTTAATCCACTTATAGGAATTAAATGGACAGTAACTGTAGGCAGGTAGGGAGTGGCTGGAGGAGGTAGGTCACTGAGGCCATGCCTTTGGGGTTGATATTCTGTCCCTCATGAGTGGAACCATCTCTCTTCTTCTTCATTGTCATTTCCTGATCTGCTTGGCTCCTCCACACCCTTTGGAATTCTGTAGTATCTCATATTAGGCCCAGAGCAACAGCGTCAGCCATCTAAGGACTGAGACTTCTGAGTCCCTGAGTGCCAAATAAACCTTCTCTCCTCTACAATGGTTCTGTCAGGTCTTTTGCTTAGAACAATGAAAAAGTTGACTGAAACACTATCCCTCCAGAGACTAACACAGAGGTCCCATAAGGTACCATGCCTGAGGACATCAGCCAGTTATTTGTTTTCTGACTGGAGTTGGCATTTAGTCTGGGTAAGTATCTGCCTTTTCTGGGTAAGTATCTTTCAGTTCTCAAAAAGAAATATAAATTGTTAATAAACATATGAAATATTGTTCGTCATCTCTAATAATTAAGAAAATGCAAATCAAAACTACATTGAGTTTTCATCTCACTCCAGTCAGAATGGTAATTATCAAGAACACAAATAATAAATGTTGCAAGGATGTGGTAGAAATGATACACTTACACATAGTTGGTAGGACTGCAAATTAGTGCAACCACTCTGGAAAGCAGTATGGAGATTCCTGAAAAAAATGGGAATGGACCTACCATATGCTCAAGCTATCCCACTGCACAGTATATACCCAAAAGTTTTCAAATCAGCACACTACAGTAATGCAGCCACATCAATATTTATAGCACCACAATTCACAACAGCCAAGCAATAGAGTCAACCTAGGTGCCCTTTAACAGATGAAAAGATAAACATAAAGTAGTAAATATACACAGTGGAGTATTACTCAGCCATAAAGAAAAATGACTTTATGTCATTCGCTGGTTAATGGGTGAAGCTGCAGACTACCATGCTAAGTGAAATAAGCCAATCACAAAAAGACAAAGTGAAATTATACTGTTACCATGTGTGCCTGTATGTATATGTAATGACAAATACCATCATTGTTATGATTATAAAAAAGGTGGAAATGTTTAATCTTAGAAGAAAAAGAAGACATATAGTGAGATTCTATTTATATAAAATTTAAAGGCATGTATAGCTGAATTTCACAGTTGAAATGTATATATAGCTGGATAAAGTACAAAGAAAAATCAGGATAGCAATTCTCCATGGTGGAGGGAGGGAGGTGGGGTCAGAAAAAGACATACAAGAGTCCTTGGTGATGTCAACAGTCCCTTCCTGGACTTGAGCTTTGTGCCTATATATACTTGCCTGATAATTATTTATAACACTATACAGATATACCTTGTACACATTTAACAACAAATGAAATTTCCATAATAAAAAACTGTGGAATTTTTAAAATCATTTTGTTGTTACTGCTTTCTCTGGTGTTGGGCATATTATCCAGGGATGCTTTAAAACTGAGCTAAACCACAAGCTCATGTTATTTTCACTTTGATATAGAGTCTTACTCACGTGTCCAGGCTGACCTCCCTCACACTTGGGATCCTCTTGCCTCAGCCTTCTCAGTGTGTGGCATTGCAGGTGTGTGCCCTTGGGGCCAATAAAAGTTTTCCTAAGAAATCAGGTGAGTGGAAATATTCCTTCAAAAAATAAAATACAATGTTAGATAAGAAATGAATGAAGATATTTCAAGGAAAAATAGAAATCTAATCAATGCTAGGCAGAAACTTTTATTACTTTAAATACTACTCTGATTACATATACAACTTTATACCCAAACTGGTAATACTGGTTAATACGTATTCTTAATTATTTGAAAGCAACATGATTTTCATTGTAATAACTGAGCTGAATTAAAAGTACATTAATTTCCCTATCAACCTACATGGTTCTTGTAGGTGTCTCCATTTAGAGCATGGTTATGGGTTGAATATAAACTCCCCAAAGCTCCTGTGTTTAGGTAAAATTGTTCACAGGTGAAATAATTAGACAGTGGGGGCTACTTTTAAAGAACTGAGTGATAACTGCAGGCAGACGGAGCATGACTGGAGGAGGTGGGTCACAGGGGATTCCCTGGAATTATGCCTTTTCCATGTGGCCCCGTCCCCCTTTTTGCATCCTGGCTGTGATTAATGGATCAAGGCTTCTTCACCATACCTTTCTGTCATGTTTGGGTCCAATGCAGTGTTGTCTGTCCAGTGTGGACTAAACCTCTAATATCATGATCCAAAAATAAATCTTTCCTCCATTAAGTAATTCTTATCATGTATTTTGGTCACAGAGGAGAAAGGCAGACTTACACAATTACAATGTTGTTACTAACACACTGTAATTCAAATAATTCAAAAAATAAGAACACTGAAATCAGGTGTTTGCTAAGAAAGCTAAACTGATGGGAATATTACAAGGATCATATTCCTTAGGACTGTAATTTAAAAAAATGATGAAGAACTGAAGGATGCCATCATAGAAAGGCCAAATAGTTTCTTCCTTCCTGTTTCTTGACACACAGGAGACCAACTAATGGACTGGCAGCATTCCTCATTTTTAGGAACAGTAGTCAATGGCTTTTCACATTGGAATTTGGTGACCTTTGCATGTTGACTTCATCCTCAATCTGAATATATGTCAGCTGATTCCAATTATCAAGATATCTGTTTACTTCTATCACTCTGATTTCCTTTTGGTTTTTGGTTGGTTGTTTGGTTTTGCATTCTTAGAACATAAAACATACATGGTGAAATAAGATTAATAACCATAACAATAAAAAAAGAGAATACATAGCATCTTCAGAGTCCAGCAATCAGTGGAGACAGTAAATGGCAGGTTGGAGGTATATGGGGAATGAGGAACCTCAGTGGTTTAGATTAATGGGGAAAAAAAGTGGTATACAAACACAATTGAATAGTACTCATAAAAAAGAATGAAATTATGGCATTTGCTGATAAATGAATGCAACTGGAGATTATTGTGCTAAGTGAAATAAGCCAATCCCAGAAAACAAAAGGCCCAATGTTCTCTATGATATGTGGATACTAACACACAAAAAGCGGGTATCGGGAGAAAGAATAGAAGTTCATTGTATCAGACAAAGGAGAATGAAGGGAAGGGAAGGCGGATGGGTATAGGAAAGACAGTAGAATGAATCCGATATAACATTCCTATGCTCATATAACTACACAGCCAGAGTGTAAGTTCACATCATGTACAACCACAAAAATGGGAAGTTGTACTCCATGGATGTATAATATGTCAAAACGCTCTACTGTCATGTGTATCTAAAAAGAAAAAAATTAAAACTTAGTGTTCATTTAAAATTTTTTAAAATAAATAAATGAATACATAAAAAGCATAGCCCAAGTTTACCTTTAGATTTGTTCTTACAAAAAAGAAAAACACCCAGTTTCACTACATCATTTCTACCTGAAAAATCTCTTTGTGTTCAATTAAATTTCAAGATGGACATCAACATTTAGAGTATGGAACAGGAAACATGTCCTAATGGCCTGCCTGCTCTCACACATGATCTATGTTGCACATTCAAAACTTCTTTCCCCAGAAGGCCCATAAGAATGATGCATCAGAAAAAAATGAAGCCTTATCTTTTTCTATGCCCAGGAAGAATTATGAAATCCCAAAGTCAATCCTTCCCAAGACAGATATGATATACTCTGCACACTGACACTGAAGACCACCAGGAAGAGGCAGAATGTCATGTGGACACCTCCATTTGAGGAAGGAGAGCTAGAAAAACACTTCAGAGATGATTAAGGAAGAAGAGCTGACAAATGAATCCAATCACAATGGGAAAAGATCACACATTTTCCATGCAACTGGAAATTAAAACCAAAAATAAATGGGCCTGATTTGATAATTGCCTGTTTACTAATTCAAACAATGACAAGGAAAGGGTGTTGCATATGAAGACAGCAGCCCCTTTGCAGGGTATAAAAGGGGACGTGGGTCAGAGAGACCTCCAAACCTTTGAAACCCACCTTCCTGGAAACACCCCCAGAACCTCCAGTCTCTGACACCATGTGCAACTCCTCTTGTGGCTCCTGCTGCTCTGGCCAGGGCTGTGGCTGCTGCCAGCCCAGGTGCTGCCAGACCACCTGCTGCCGCCCCAGCTGCTGTAGCTCCAGCTGCTGCAGCCCCTGCTGTGGTGGCTCCAGTGGCTATGGAGGTTCTAGTGGTTGTGGCTCCTGCTGCTGCTGCCCCACTTGCCTCCAGACCACCTGCTGCAGAACCACCTGCTGCCGCCCCAGCTGCTGTGGGTCCAGCTGCTGCAGCCCCTGCTGTGGTGGGGGCTCCAGTGGCTGTGGCTCCTGCTGCTGCCAGCCCATCTGCTGTAGGACCACCTACTGCCGCCCCAGCTGCTGTGGCTCCAGCTGCTGCAGCCCCTACTGTGGTGGCTCCAGTGGCTGTGAAGGTTCCAGTGGCTGTGGCTCCTGCTGCTGTCGCCCCTGCTGCTGTGTCTCCACTTACTGCCACCCTTGCTGCTGCCGCCCCATCTGCTGTAGGACCACCTGCTGCCCCCCCAATTACTGTGGCTCCTGTTGATGCGCCCTATGTGCTGACAGTCTGTGCAGCTGGCCCCCTTGCTCCCAGTCACCCCAGGAGCTACATATCAGCTCCTGCAGACCCTCTGCTGCAGCCCCAGAAGCTGCCAGAACCCCTGCTGCACATCCCAGTGCTGCCCTCACCTGCTGGGCTTCCAGCTGCTGCCCCCCTGTTTGTCTCCAGTCCACCTGATGCTCCCAGTCTGCTCTAATGGTTCCTGCTGCTGAGATCTGACCTCATCTCTGTTCTTCAACCAGTGTCCTCCAAGGCCTCCATCTCTCAGCCCCACAGGATGCAATAACAGGACACTCCCATCCCCCACTGCCTGCTCAGTCTCTGACCAATGTCAGCCTCCCTCTACTCTCATCTTACCCCTTTGGATAGTATTGCTCTCTGACTTGCTGTCTCATGTGGACATAGACCTGCATCTTCAATAAATATACAACACCCATAATGGCCTCGTGTCTCTTTCTTTTTCCCTTTTGAGTTGCTGTGCTACTCTGATTTTATATGTATATTTTTTGGGGGGGAGGGGGGAGCACATCTATCAAATTTAAAAACCATAACAGACCATCTCAGATGACCCTACTCCACTCTGTGAGCACTTGTCATCCTAATATCTGAAGATGGTTGGAAAGCAAGCCCCTGGAACTCCCTGACTGAGGGCTTTGTGCGAATGGAGACCGACCTCTGGGCAGGGGGGTTTAGGGTCCAGGAGCAGACCTCGCCCAGTGACTGGGAGTTGGTGCAGAGAAGCTCCAGCTCAGTGTTATCTGGGTGGTCCTTCCAGTCCTCCCTAGGTCCTCTGAGGGACTGGACCTATTATGACCTGAGTGTTGTGCTGCTCATTGTCTCTGCCTTCTTTCTGCCCTGAATCAATTTCCAAATTCCCTGCAGTGCTCTGTGTGAATATTTCCCAATGTTCTAAGTCCTACATCATTTCTATCTGAATATTTTCAAAGCAACAAAAACTAGGACCCCTCTCCTCCCATTCTCAGTGTGGTGTCCTAACACAACCTTTCAAACAACATGGAAGGCCTCTATCTTGTCAGGTCAATCTTAGCTTGACCCTGTATCATACTGATAAATCTTTTTAACAAATGGTTATTTCCTACCAATCTCTTCACAGTGTCCTGAAGATAACACTGGATATACCACTCTATTACTGGACCTTAGGGACAGGGGACAATACCAGGTGGACACCCTCATCTTTGATGTCCTCCAGCCCTGGCTCTGAGTGATGGGCCTCAGTGCTTGTTGGCTTTGGCTGGAGGTTGTCCTCAGCTCTTTCCCTAATGCATCCCTGTCACACTGCAGCTAAATTCATCTCAGCTAGTGACAGAAGTACAGCCTGTAAAATAAGGCGTCTCACCTACAGGAAAATCTCAGTCTTTGTAACTTAAGTGCTGAATGTTGCTGCCACGTAGGAACTGAGCGCCCCTTAGCCTTGAGCGATGAGAATGTGGAGATGTGGCAAGGCACATGGGCTGTGTGTGTGTGGACGATGAGCATTGAGCGCACAGGGTGGACTGAACCCACATTGTCCCCCATTTTGGTTGGCCTCGCTCTGGTCTTTTGCTTGCTCTGCCATGATCCCCACACAGCTCATGAGATGGGCATGGCCTCCCTAGATGTCAGTCAATCAGCTGACAGCAGACAACAGGAATCTAGACTCAACCCCCTAAAACTTGACCCCTTGCCTCATTTGGATGGCTTCTCCCCAATAAAAGGGTTCAGGATGTGCTCCTCACTCTCTTTCCAAGGACCCCTAAGGTCAGAGGAGCCGTCACAGTTCCCAAAGAAAAAGGTATTTCTCTGTCTCTGTGTGATTATTTCATGCAGCCCAGTTCACCTGGAGTGACCCCGAGTGTTTAGTCATGGGACGTGTCACTATTGGTCAGAAGGAAATTCTCAAAGGCGAGGCAATTACATAAACTACTTTATTACTCCCTTTACATTAATGAAATGAAATAACTGAGGCAATGCACTTACAAAAGGCAGCTTTATATCCAGTCACCATCAAGTGGCACTATATCTGTGGGTCTTTGCTGCGGTTGCTGTGTGGCAAAGGCAAGAAGCTTGTCATAGAGCAAACTGCCCCCGTCACCACCTAGAAAAACACAGAAAGGGCTGGTTTCCCCCAATTCCATTGGAAGGTCCATAACGTTGCCCAATTCAGTCAGTCTGGGAGGCCATCCTTGACCATAAGTATGTGAGGCACTATTCATATGTGAGGCACAGTAACTTTGAACATCCAGGATGTAGAAAAAGGTGGGGCCACCTGTCGGCTGCTCATCCCAGCTAGTGCAGAGTACTGAGCCATGCAATAGAAATATAAGACGTATACGGTGATTCTATTCATACAAAATGCAAAAGCGTGTATACTAAAGTGTACAGTTTAAAAATATATGTGTAGGTGGACAAAGTACACAGAAAAACAATGATGAGATATTTTCAAAATCAGTATGATGATTGTCCTTGGGTTAGCGAGGGAGATGACATCAAGAAAAGACAAGCAAGAGTCATGGTGATGCCAAATTCCTCTTCTTAGAGTTGAGCTGGGGGCATGTAAATATTAGCCTGGTAATTATTTATGACCATATACATATCTATATATCTATATCTGTCTATCTATCTATATGCATACATGCATAAAAGTGTACAAGATATAAATATTTGTGTACAAAATATATATATTTGTATAGCTTGTATGCATATATTTTTATTTTGATATAGAGTCTCAGTATCGTGTTCAGGCTGACCTCACCCTTTGATCCTATTTCCTCAGCCTTCTCAGCATATGACATTGCAGGCATTGCCTTTGGGACCAATAAGAAAGTGTTCTTAAGAAGTTAGCTGAACTGAAATATTCCTTCAAACATTAAAACAACAATTTTAGATAAGAAATGAATTAAGATGCGTCAGGACAAATAATCAATCAATGCTAGGTGGACATTTTCATTACTTAAAATATTGCTCTGATTACATGTACCACTTCATATCAAATATGGTAATACTGATTAATACACATTCTGAAATATTTGAAAGCAACTGGATATTCATTGTTAAGCACCTAAGTTGAATGAAAAGTACATTAATTTTCCTATTGACCTACATGGTTATTCTAGGGGTTTCCATTTAGAGCATGGTTATGATTGAATATAAACTGATAAGATGTCTCCCTAAAGCTGCTGTGTTGAGATAGAATTGTTCACAGGTGAAATAATCAGATTGTGAGGGGTGAAACCCAAGGAATCCATCCTAGTTTCAAATGACTGAGTGATAACTGCAGGCAGCTGTAGCATGGCTGGGGGAGATGGTTCAGAGGCGGTGGCACAGAAGGTGCTTCTTCCCTGTAGCTCCTTCCTGGCTGCAAGTAATGCAGCAAAGTAAGGCACGTTCACCATGCACTTCTGCCATGTGTTCTGCATGTCTTGGGCCCACAAAGTCCAAGCTACAGCGTCTGCTCAACATGTACTGAACATCTGGTATCATAAACCAACATGAATCTTTCCTCGTTAAGGTATAATCGTCATGTATTTTGGTCACACTGGTGAAAGGCTTTTAACCCATTCACTACATATGTAACACATTATGAGGCTATTACTAACAAACTGTGATTCAAGTGATCACAGTACATAGTAACTTTGGAAACAATACCTAGGTTGTATAAATTTGAAACCTGTTTTTCATTTACACCATATAGGGACATCTGAAAACAAATTCAGTTTTGTATGCCATTCTCTAACAGATATACTAGCACGATGTGTCCAGAATGCTCACAGACATAACCTAATTCCTAGGTGGAGCTTGCAAATGTCAATTGTGTCTACCTCATTCAAATTTCTTCAGTGTTAAATTATCTGGATTATTTTGTACTGTGGCATTTGAAATAAAAAGAAAACTGTTTAGAGGGAAAACATTACACTCTGTTTATGACTCCTTCTCATAAAAGAAGTGAACTTCTTGTAGATCATCAGTAATCTCTGAATATGATCCAGATAGTATTTAACCATTAAGTTTCACCAGACCTCAGGTAGAGTTCAGCAAGGAGTGCACAGAGTGACGTCTCTCCTGTGTTGAGTTTGCTTCTTCACAGTGCAGGGCACTATCTACAGTGATTTCCCTTTGTGCTTGGTGCCCTAGTGGTCCACGCTCATCCATGGGAGTCTTTTGCTTTGGAATAAGAATTATCTAAAACCCTAAAGAGGAATATGCAATTTTTAAGTCCCCATTGCTCAAACTTTAGTGTTCCAATATCAGCATCAGTAACTCTGTTACTTAGATGCCATCAATTAAAACTTATTGATTTTGGTGACTTCTGTGCTTAACTAAAATTGACACAAATGCATGTAATGGGGACAATTTAATGAGGAGGGTCTCAAATTTGCATCCTACAAGGGTAAAGTGAGGAACATGAAAAACTTGTGATGTCCAGACCTTCCACAGAGCAATTTAATCAAAATCATTCTGGGCAGGAGCCAGCCATGACAGTTTGGAACACTCCCAGGTCACTCCTGTAGTAGCCTACTGGAGAACCACTGGTGCCGGGCTCTCACATTCACTGGCCCATGATGGTAATACACTCTGGCTTTTATAGCTGGTCAAAAGAGTACTGTCATAGCTCCTAAACTTATACTAAATTATTTCTTCTAGAAATCAAAAAGCCAAACTTTTATTTCTTTTTTGTGCACTTTATCTTTCTTGTGCAAGAAACCCATGAAATATCTCCATGCTCAGAAAGTATGTTTATTTACCTACGTCATATTCTCCAGTTTTACCAACACATGCCTTAAAAATAAGACCCAGTAAAATAGGTGTTTGCCACACAAGCTAACATGACGAAAATAGGTCCAGGGGCTTATTCTTTAAAGGACTGAATTGAGACATTAAAGACACATCAGAATGCCATCACAGAGATACCCCTAGTCTCTGTGAACAACTTTCTGACACACAGAGAACCAACTAAGGGTAACAGTATTCCTCATTGTTAAGAACAAGAGTCACCTGGCTATTAGCAATGACAGTTCTATCCTCTTTCAGCTTTGACTTCATTTCCCTAGGAATATATGTCATCTGGTATCCTGGAGACACCTGTTTCCTTTTCTGAATTCTTTCTGTGTGTTTGTTCAACAATAAGACCTAATCATTAAAATCGGATCAATGACCTCAATAAAAACAAAAGAGAGTGCAGTTTATCTACAGAGTTCAGTGACACCAGGGTACACCAAGGTGGCAAGTTATGAGTGGTATAAGGGGCAGGTTCCCTCAAGCATCATATGTGGATGGACAAGGGTGTTCAGGAAACCCAAGACTTGAGTCAATATGGCCTGACCCAACCACCAAGACAGGAAGCCAGAGCAGAAGGAAACAATTCCAAGCAGGTGGACTGTTGAGGATCTGAACCTCCTGGTGATGCTGATTTTATCTCTGCAGCCACATCGC